AGGGGGGACCTGGAGGGAGGGGGGAGGAGAGCCTGAAGCAGGCAGGCTGGGGTGACTTGGAGGGAAGCCTGGGAAACAGGAACCCGGTCAGGAGACCTCGCGTGTGGCCTGAGAGTGCTTCGCCTTTCACTTTCAGTGAAGCTCGTGCAGCCACTGCCTGGAAGCCGGGCTATTGTGAGGCCGAGGCAGGTACGGGAGCCCCACTGGGAGGTCCCTGTTGTTACCTAAGGGTGAGCGGCAGCTGGGCCTGGGGAAGGAGCTGGTGCGGAGGCAGCAATTCAGGGCCAAGGCCCCAGGTCAGAGGCATCAGAGCAATAAGACCCAGGTCAGCAGGAGCCATTGGCTGCTAGATACCCTGAGGCTTCTGAGCCCCATTTGGAGGCCATGGGGGGCTCCTTGCGCCCCCCCAGGCGGAGCCCCGCCTCGTTCTTCCGGGGCCGTGGGAAGGCTCCTGTCCAGCTGACACTGTTCTGCTGCCGGAGAACCTGCTCATTTGGGTCCTGGGGAGAGGAATAAAAATAGATTCTAGAACTGTCTAAACTCAGTTGGCAAACTGGTGGCCAGATGGCGCTGGATCCTGTGTGCAAGGAGCAAGCTCTTCTGAAGGTGGGAAGGGCTATTTTAAAGTCTGGATCCCAGTGAAAGCTGCCGCCTGGTGCCTTATGGCGTCACATCGAGGCGAGGCTGTGACTGCCCTCGGTGGGGAGGGCTGGCTGGCCCCTGCGGGTGCCGGGCGGCCTGTGCTGAGTGCCAGGTGAGGAGTGGGCACAGGCCGATGGCCAGCCCAGCCCTGGGAGCTGCTCGGCCTCGAGGGCCCTGGAGGGTGGATAGACAGGATGGCGGCTGGGCTGGTCCTGACCCAGAGGGACCCCATCTGAGTCCGACACTCCCGTCCCCGCTTCAGGGCCCGAGCTGGCCCTGCTTCTGGGAGTGTGGCACCCTCCAGGCCCTGCTCGCCTGCCGGCATTTGGGGAGTGGTGAGGTCGCCGTCAGGATTAGGATTAGGAACACAAGAGCGATCAGCTTGTCCTCCTCCCTCCTGGGCGAAGGCTTCCAGCTCAGGAGCTCACACAGCTCGGCTGACAGTTTCCTATCGGTGGGCAGCTCTCTGCCTCTCACCAGGCCAGGCTCTGGGACGGGGAGTCCCGGCTGAACAGGGCCCGCCCATGTGGGGACCCCCTTTCTGTCCCGGCCTGTTGGTTCTCACCCCCGCCCTCCCGGAGGTAGAAGCCCACAGCTCTTCATCCCAAGGACCTCTGTCGCCTCGGGGACTCCATAGGAGTCCTGGGTTTCAGCTTCTGTTTGTCCCACGAGGACTCCAAGGCCCAGGAGGTCACAGTCCTGCCTAGGGTGGGCAGTGAGGCCGTGCCTGTGAGGGCCCGGATGCTGGGCTCCTTATCCTGCCTGCTCCCTGCCCCGTGCACAGTTCAGCAGCCGGTGTCATGTGGGCAGGGGCCCCCGGGTGCCCCACTCAGAGCGTGGCAGTGTCTCAGGGGAAATGTGACTGGGGGTTCGGAGCCTGGACCAGCCAGGCCTTCCCTGGATCCCCCCCACCAGCAGCCCCCCTGCTGGGCCCCAGGCTAATCCGGCTTAGTGGGCAAACAGTAGTGCACAGCCCAGCACCTGCCTTTGTGCCGTGTGGCCAGCACCGGGCTGGGCGAAGGGTGCCAGAGGAAGCCCTGGGCGGTGGGGACGGACACCAGGTAGGTTGGGTCACAACATGAGGAACTGTATTTAAAGGACCAGAAGGTTGAGAACCACGGCCTTAGATACTGTGGTGCAGCAGCCTCAGCCCCGTTCCCTCTGTGTGCAGCTGTGACATTCTGATCTTGTATCCAGCCCAGCCACATGTGGCCTGTCCCAGGGGTCGCACTCCTGTCCCCTTGCTGCTCCTCGCCAGCCCGTCCTGCAGTGGCCGCGAGGCGGAGGTCACGCACGTCCTCAGCAGCCCTGCCGTGTGGGCAGTGTCCCCAGCAGCAGGGCGAGTCCTGGTGCTTCGACAGGGTTCTTCCCCGACACCCTTGCTTGTGACCCGCCTGGGACCCGCTGTGTGACCTGAGCCCAGGTTCACTGCCTGTGGAGTGGGGGGGAGGCGTCCCTGTAAGCGTCTGGAACATTTCCGCCCGCCTCCCCACCACCGCCTCTCCCACCTGCTGGTGCGGACCCAGCAAAGAGGTGCCTTCGGTTGGGGTGGTCACTGGTGTGCAGTCAGGGACCCCATCTGCAGTGGGAGGAAGGGATGGGAACTGGGGGCGAGGTGGAGGCCACTGTAGGGCCCAGGGGACAAAGGCTTGGATCCCACACTGCAGGGGCGTCCGTGAGTGCCGCTCCACAGGAGCAGGGGCGCCCTATGGATCCATTATTTGCAAACTCAAAACAGCCCCCGACTGGGGACGCCCCGGGCGCAGGTGCTCCCCTCCCGGGAGCCTGGTCAGCATAAGGAGACGGCTTTCCTTCCGAGTCTCCCACCCCCGCCTGCGCCAGGACACCTGTCAGGATAAACCCCGGCCCTTCTGGAGAAGCTGGTTATGGTGGCTTAGGTGTGGCCCCATGGGCCCCGCACCTTGACCTTGAGGGAGGGTGGGAGGCCCCTGGACCTGAAGTGGCCCAGGGTCTTGCAGAGGAGCTGCTGGGAACGGAGCCCCAGGGGTGCAAGGGGTGGAGACAGGGCCCGTCCTCCTCACTGGGCGACAGGCTCTGCTCACACACTCTCCCTCCCAGGCCTGCAGGGACTTTGTGGCACTAGCAGAGGCACACAGCCGGAAATGGCAGCGGGCGCTGCAGTATGAGCAGGAGCAGCGCATTCACCTGGAGGAGACCATCGAGCAGCTGGCCAAGCAGCACAACAGCCTCGAGCGGGCCTTCCGCAACAGCCTGCCCGGCCGGTCCTCTGACCCCAGCAAGAACTTCAACTCGGGTGAGCGCTGGGCCGGGCCGGGCCACTCCAGCCGCAGCCTCCTCCCGGCTCCCCGGACCCATGCCAGCCCTCACCTGGCCAGTCTCCCCGCGTCTAGGTTCCACTTCTCAAAAGACAAGTTCAGTGACCCCACTGTCCCCTCGGTGCCAGGGCTGGCAGGCAGCTGCCCGAGGCTGGGAGTCATGGTGCCCTGGGAAGAGCAGCTAGGCCACCCCCAGACTGAGCAGCATGTAGAAGGATGGGGGGCGGGGGCTCTGGAAGAAAGGAGGCTTCTGAGCCAAGCAGTGACAGGAAAGCACATTCGGAGAGCAGATGAGGACAGCCACGGCAGGTTCATCAGGACCAGGCCGCCGGAGTTGGGAAGGCTGGGGGGCGGGGGGCACAGGATCAGAGTATGGGGTGCGGGTTCTGTAGGCTCTGGACCCCTCAGGTGGGTGCGACGAGGCTCTGTGAAGCCGCAAATGACGCAGCAGCTCTGCGTGTCCCTAGAAAGCCTCTTGACTTCCAAGGAAGAGGACAGTGAGGAAGATGAGGATACGGAGTATTTCGACGCCATGGAAGACTCCACCGCCTTCATCACTGTGATCACCGAGGCCAAGGAGGACAGGTGGGCTCTCGGGGCTGCTGCTTTAAGTCTCATGCCAGATGGCATTTCTGCTTAGATTGGGTCTGTTGTTCCTTAAGTCAAAAAAGGCCCCAATCGAGTTTGTATCAGGGTTTCATTTTCAATGGACAGAGAACAGGGCACTCACTGGCACCCCTGCGGCTCCTCCAGAGGTGCCCCCCGGCCTCACCTGGTCCTGGGTCAGCCTGGCATCTGAGCATCTGCTGCCACGGGCCTCAGAGAGTGGGGGCCCCTCCAACCTGCCCCGGTCCCGCAGCCCCACTGAGCATCCTGAACCGAGAGACGCCCCATTGGAAGGAAGCCCGGTGCCCCTCCGATCTCAGTGGAGGGCCTGCTAGAAGGCGGCCAGGCCCTGGGGAGGCCTCGCATTTGTAAATAACCTGCCTCCCACTGTGTTTCCTGCAGAAAAACTGAGGGTGGGACCACAGGCCCTGTGGACTGGACCCCGGCAGACAATGTGAGTGACGGGGAGACCCTGAGGGGGGGCCAGCACCTGGAGCTCAGGGCCCTGGGGCAGGCCCAGTGGCCTACTGCCTTTGGTCCCAGCAGCAGCTGGTCCTCAGACTCCCTGGGTCAGGGGTGAGGACGAGGCCTGGGGGGCCATGTGCTCTGGCCTCTGCTGATGCACACACTCTGCTTCTCTGGCAGGTACAGGATGGCGCTTCACTCATGCCCAAGGGCCCCCCCAAAGTCAAGAGGCGTGTCCGCATCCCAGACAAGCCCAACTACAGCCTTAATCTCTGGAGCATCATGAAGAACTGCATCGGCCGGGAGCTCTCCAAGATCCCCATGCCGGTAGGGCTCAGGCAGGGGGCCTCACTGGGTTCCCTGGGAGTCGCCTTCTCTGCTGCCTGAGGCGCGAGCACACACTGTTGAATCATGTCATTGCCGCGATCCCCCAAGAGCAGAGGTCTCAGGCTCTGAGGGAGGGGCTCTGCGGTGATCAGAGACTCAGGGACCCCCATGTCGCTGCACCTGACGGGGCCTTATGATGTCCTGGCTGTCCTGACCCGTCCGTGGGACTGGCAGGCTTGGGCTGTGTGTGTAGACAGGTAGGCCCTCCCCCAGCGAGGTCACACAGCAGGCTCAGGGTACAGGCGGGCACCCTCTGGCTGCCAGGCCACAAGGGCATCTCCAGAGAAGGAGCTTGGAGGCTCTAGGCCAGACTTGGTTCCACTGTGACCCCAGACAAGTCCCTTCACCTCCAGCCTCTGCGTCCATAGCTGCAAAGGGGGGAGATGAACGGCACCCACTTCTGAGTGGTCACAGCCCAGCACCACAGCTGGCAGGTGCTCTCAACAGAAACGCTGCATCATAGCTCAGTAGCTCGGAATATGAGCAAGACCAGCCCCACTTTGTCCACATCCACTCATTCCCACGGCTCAGTGCTGGGCAAGGCAGAAGCCCTGGCGATGACACCCTGGGGTGGGAGAAGGACAGCAGGTCAGGGCGGTGAGGGCTGTGGGGGAAACGAAGGTGGGAGGGGCGGGGAGAGGAACCTCCCTGAGGGTGCTGTCTGAGCAGCAATGTCCCTGCACATCTAGGGTGCTACGCTGGGAGCAGCTGGCTCAGCTGGACCCCAGACGGACCCCCGCCCTCCCACAGGTCAACTTCAACGAGCCCCTGTCCATGCTCCAGCGGCTGACGGAGGACCTGGAGTACCACCACCTGCTGGACAAGGCGGTGCACTGCACCAGCTCGGTGGAGCAGATGTGCCTGGTGGCCGCCTTCTCCGTGTCCTCCTACTCCACCACGGTGCACCGCATCGCCAAGCCTTTCAACCCCATGCTCGGGGAGACCTTCGAGCTGGACCGCCTCGAGGACATGGGCCTGCGCTCACTCTGCGAGCAGGTGAGGCCACACACTCCTCCAGGCCTGGGGTCAGAGGCGACGAAGGGGACCCAGCCTCTGGTCCTGGCATGCACATGCCCATGCCCATGCCCAAGGAGCTGTCAGGCTGCAGTCCAGTTAGGCAGCTGGGTCTCCTGCCTCTGGGCAGGGAGTGGGGACGTTAACTGGAAAGTGGGCACCGAAGCCCTCGGTGGACAGGAACACCTTATCAGCCCTCAGCACAGCCCGTCGCAGGCACCCTGACATCCTGAGGCGTAGGCTCTGCCATCACCCCCACTTCACAGCCTGAGAGTCGGGGGTGGAGACGCCCGGCCCCTGTCTCACAGTCACAGGCTGCACCTGCTTCTGCGCCCTGGCTTTTCCTTGGAGCACTGTCTCTCCGGGGCCTCCAGGGCCACAGGACAGGCTGTGTCTGGCTGCCTGGGGGCAGGCCTGGCCCGGGTCCCGCAGACACTCATGTGCGGCGGGTCTGTCGCAGGTGAGCCACCACCCTCCATCAGCCGCGCACCACGTGTTCTCCAAGAACGGCTGGAGCCTCTGGCAGGAGATCACCATCTCCAGCAAGTTCCGGGGCAAATACCTCTCCATCATGCCGCTAGGTGAGCCGGGCCTGTGCCCTCCCAGGGCAGAGACGTTCTGGATAAGGGGGAGGGTTTTCCCACACCCAGAAGCCAGCCACCAGCCTGGGAGCCATGACCGCCGACCCCGTCTCTCGCCTCCAGGTGCCATCCACTTAGAATTTCAGGCCAGTGGCAATCACTACGTGTGGAGGAAAAGCACCTCAACTGTGCATAACATCATCGTGGGCAAGCTCTGGATCGACCAGGTCAGGGGCACCCTCGGGAGCGGGGGTCTGGCCTGGGGATCAGCCGCTGACCACCACCCTCTCTCACCAGACGGGGGACATTGAGATCGTGAACCATAAGACCAAGGACCGGTGCCAGCTGAAGTTCCTGCCCTACAGCTACTTCTCCAAGGAGGCGGCCCGGAAGGTAAGCAAGGCCGCCTCGCAGAGCCTTGAGGGTCGACCCGGAGAAGGCCTTGCCCACGCTGGTCCTCCGTGTCCACAGGTGACAGGCGTGGTGAGTGACGGCCAGGGCAAGGCCCACTACGCGCTGTCAGGCTCGTGGGATGAGCAGATGGAGTGCGCCAGGATCGTGCAGAGCAGCCCTGGCGTGGACGGCGTGGACGGCAAGCGTAAGACCGTGTACCAGACGCTGCCGGCCAAGCTGCTGTGGAAGAAGTACCCGCTGCCGTGAGTGGGGGGACCCGGCCAGACAGGAGGCCAGCGGCATAGGGGTCAGAAGGGCTCAGTCCACATGTGGGCAGGAAGCCGAGCTGTGTGGCTGGCATCACCCAGGGCGGCAAGTCCTTTGCAGAGCCTTCCAACAGCTCATGGGACAGAGTCCCCGTGGTCCAAGGAATGGAAACAACACAGTGGCACACAGACTCCAAAGATAGGAAACTTAAGATCACTGTCTAAGGCAGGGGTCCTCAAACTTTTTAAACGGGGGCCAGTTCACTGTCCGTCAGACCACTGGAGGGCCGGACTATAGTTTAAAAAAAAACTATGAACAAATTCCTATGCACACTGCACATATCTTATTTTGAAGTAAAAAAAACAAAACGGGAACAAATACAGTATTTGCATGTGGCCCGTGGGCCGTAGTTTGAGGACCCCTGGACTCTAAGGGAACCCATCCGCCAAGTCCAGGTCAGCAGAAATCATCAGAAGCAGGCAGGGAGACAGGCCTGGGAAGAGGAGCAGGTCCTCACGGTGCCCTGCGGACTCTGGTCTGAAAGCAGGACCTGGTCTGGAGCAAAAACAGGAGAGAGTTTTGCACGCGTAGATCTGCACAGTGGGACTGTTTAAACTGAATGAAGTGAAAGTACTGAGCCACCAGGTTTTAAAAAGGGATTACTGCCCGGGGAACAGCAGACTGACAGCTGCCACCTCCTGGGCAGTAAGGGAGCTTGGAGGCCGATGAGATCTCCCGGGAGCACAGACGCGGCTGGAATTAGACGCCAGCAGACCTGCACTAAAGGTTGCGCCTCTGGCAGAAGGGAACTGATCCCAGATGGGAGATCTAAGAATGTGGACCTAAGTGAACAGTGGATACACACAAATAACCACATGGGGTTTAAAATGTAAACATAAAACGTAACTGCGATGATGTAAGTCAGAGGGGTGAAGGGAAGGAAACTTCTTGAAGACCCTCATGCTGCCCAAGGGGAGGGTCCAGATGTGTGTGATTCCTAGAGTGACCACTAAGATGGTATGTGTAATTGGAATCCCAGTAGGAAAGGAAAAGAAAGAAAAATGAGAAGTAAAGCAATGAAAGACCCCGGGTGGAAGGGGCCTTTAGAGTCGCAGAGACAGGAGGGACAGACAGACTTCTGCCCAGACCGCACTATAGTGGGAGAATCAGATGGACATCAGGTTTTTCAGCAGCTGATGTTGGGTTAATATTTTCAAAGTAAAGAAGAAAAAATAGTAGGTAAATTTTATGTTCAGCCAAGCTACCATTCAAATATGAGAGCATGACCAAATATGTCCTCAGGGAACAGCTCGGCAGGTTTGATGCCCCAAAACCCACAGTGAACAAGGTACTGGGCGTAGCAAGCAACCCAGGAGGTGCTGCAATACATACCCTGACCAAGGGGGGCTATTCCATAATCCAGCACCGAGAGGGGAGACCGAGAAGGATGCGAAGGAATCCAGATACATGCACCTTCTGAGAGAAATACATCGTGGAAATCCTAACCAATAAAACCACAATGACAAGCCCTAGCTAATTTGAGCCCTAACTGGTTTGGCTCAATGGATAGAGTGTCGGCCTGCGGACTGAAGGGTCCCGGGTTCGATTCTGGCCATGGCCATCCCTGGGTTGCGGGCTTGATCCCCAGTGGGGGACGTGCAGAAGGCAGCTGATCAATGATTCTCTCTCATCACTGATGTTTCTATATCTCTCTCCCTCTCTAAAATCAATAAAGTATATTAACAAAACAGCCCATAAAGACGGTATTAATATCAGGTAAAGGAGTCTTCAAATCAAAAGCATTATTAGGGATGGAAGAGTAGCTACAGGTTAAAGAGTTGATTTCCTTAAGGAGGTATAATAGTTTCAAACATTATAGCCTCAACAGCATACAAAGCACATGTTGTTAGTAAAGGTGTAAATGGATAAATCCATCATCACAGTGGGAGACTGAAGAGATGATAAATTTGAACAAGTGGACGAAATGGGGACACTCCCAGGAGTGTAATGTAGACGCAGCCAGCGGGCGGAGAGGGGGGAGCAGTCGGTGGAGCAGCGGGTGCTGCCCGCTCCTCGGGGTGGGGGTGTGCGCTGGAAGGGGAGAGGGGCTGGGCCTCGGGTGGGCGAGGGGCGCGGGGGACATGCCATGTCGTCCCCCCACAGGGAGAACGCCGAGAACATGTACTACTTCTCCGAGCTGGCCCTGACCCTCAACGAGCACGAGGAGGGCGTGGCGCCCACGGACAGCCGGCTGCGGCCCGACCAGCGGCTGATGGAGAAGGGGCAGTGGGACGAGGCAAACACGGAGAAGCAGCGGCTGGAGGGGAAG